TACAGTCTTACTGAAGCAAAAAGATTTTAAAAATATCGCACAAAATATTACCAGCTTAAAGACAGTAAAAGCTTTCTGCAACCTGAAAGTAGATAGTCTGACATAAAAATATCTGCAGTGATATAATGTGTAATTGGTATGTCAGAAAGACCCAAAATGACTCAACAAAGAAATAAAAAGGCTAACATTAACCTTTTGCACTCAAAATTTGCACATTATTTCCCTACCTTGGGCTTTTTATCCCTTTAAATGAAGTTTCTCCCCCCAAAAAATTTAACACCATTTCAGAAGGGAACAGTAAAAATGGGGAGAGAGAAATATGTTTTGTCAGTTTTACATTCTCCTTCTAAAAACCTTTAACAATACTTTGGCATCGGTACTTCGAATCTAAGGGGTTTTATACTGCTTCCAATCCAAGGGTATTCATTAAGGTTTCATTGAGTTACAAACCTCTGAAAATCACATTAGAGAGCCTTTCCAGGGCAGCTCTTCAATTCAGTGAACGTTCTATCTGTGCTAAACGTGTTCCACGTTCAAAGCAAACTTTGTACATCTGCTCTAACCTCACTTCAAACCAAGTGGGCATGAATGGCCAGACAATCTGTGTCAGCAGTGTAAATCCCCTCCAGGACATGGAGCAGAAGCAGAAATTGCAAAGATTCATCAGCCTTCTGGTGTCAGCAGATAGCTGACAATGGACCCTGCCCTACCCAATCCTGTCCTGTCCTACTGCTTTGAAAATCTAACCCACAAACTGTGAGTTCTGACAGCTGGAACACCTTGGGAAGGGAAGGGGCCTGTGCAATGAAAGTGAGTTTTGGAGACTGACTAATAATTGCAAGGTTCAGTTTTGTTTTGTCCTTGTTTGCTTTCACTATTCTGACTGCTGCTAACTCTGTGCACTTCCCAGCTATTCACCCCCACATGTTCTTACCTTCAAAAACCCTAATTTTCATAACAAGCAGCCTAAACATAGCTGATTGGAATCAGGTCACACAGCCAAAAGGGTGTTGGAAAAAATCAGGCCAGATTCTTTCAATTTGAACAAGAAAAAAATGAAACTATCGGTGCAATTTTAGCATCCAAGGTAAAAATTTCTAACTGCCATAGCCTAAACCCCTTTCTAGGACTGAAACTCAGAGCTTTAATTGTCCAAATGTAACTTTCACACTCCTTGTCATAGGGACTTTAACAGAAATAATTTCAATTAATGTTTTTGACAGTATCAGGTAATATGGACTGTGAACATTAAAGAATACATTTTCAGTGGTGGTTAGTAAGTAAATTAAAGAGCTACAAACTGATGATTTAGGTACTTCACTAAAAAGCAACAGAACTAGTGGATATTGGTTTCCAGTGAATATATATTCAACAGCATCATAACCTCTGTTTTCCCCAGTATCCTAAAGATAGTCTGGTATGAGTCATATAGATATTGCTGCCAAAATCATCTACAACTGCTGACAGGTGGAAGTAAATTGTGTACATTTTCTTTTATAAGGAAACAAGACTTACATATATCAACTAATATGCCCATTCTTTTCCTATCATTTATCCATCAAACAGATAAATGGGAGATCTTACAGGAGATATTGTATATGCAAAGGCTGTACAACAGAGTGCTAAACTCAAGCTGCATCTGTAATATATTTTCTTACACTTGATAAATTTTAAGTGGGTTTTTTTTGTATACATAAACTGGATAACTCAGTTTTTATAATCCCATACATGCATACACATATATGAGAAAAAAACACATCAAAAGAAATCTATATATGCATACTGTAAAGAAAATATAAAGTAGAGCAAATTCCTATTCTTCTGCATGGTTCATCAAAACATCTTCACAGAGGACAACATCCCAGAGTAAAGGAAGTCAAAAAAGGATAACAAAACTCTAAAATGAATGCATCTCCTTTACAAAATAAGACTAAAGCATTTTCAATTTGTAACAAACCAAAACTCATCACACGCATCACCATAAATTTAGAAAATATAAAGTAGAGCAAATTCCTATTCTTCTGCATGGTTCATCAAAACATCTTCACAGAGGACAACATCCCAGAGTAAAGGAAGTCAAAAAAGGATAACAAAACTCTAAAATGAATGCATCTCCTTTACAAAATAAGACTAAAGCATTTTCAATTTGTAACAAACCAAAACTCATCACACGCATCACCATAAATTTAACAAGATTTGTTTTCCTGCTCCTGCTGACATGGCTGTGGGTGATAATTATGCCTGTTTATACACTTTGTTTCACTGACTGCCCTAAACATGCCCTGAAGAACAAAGAAAGTGTCCTCCTGGTTTAGGAAGGAATCTTTCCAAATTTTGACACACACTTCATTGAACCCCAATCCAGAGGTGGCCTTCCTCCAGTAGCTTACAGAAATAAATAAATAAGATCTCTAAAGAATGAATGACTGCAAAATGAATTCTATATGCATACTTTTTCAGACAAACATTGAAAAAATATGAGACTCAAGCTAACAGAAATGAAGAAAAATAGGTATATGACTTCTGCAGCCAACTGGCATAGCCAATTAAATAAAGAAGAGCCCATTAAACAACTGTGGGTTTGGCAGAAGCTCCAGTTCTCATGGAATGTACAAAACAACATTTTAACTAAGTAGTCTGATGGGAAAACTCAACTTCCAAAAAGGATCAAACTCTCCCTCTGCTGGGAAGACAAAATCTGCAACTACTAAAATAATTTCAAATTTCTAGGTTGAAAAGCACGATGATTTTACCAATGCCTTAATTACTGTAAGGTGAGGTAGAAAGGTTTTGAAAAGTTGTCTCCCATTTTTGTGAGCTACTTACAGATGACATATGTTAAAATAGGTTTTTGATGTGCTCAGAGATAACAGCTCACCAATGACCACAGTTCATTACAACTTGCAAAGGAAAACCCACTAGAATATAAATACCATAGCAAAATCTCTCAGAAGATACATTTTTGGATGAAAGACAGTTTTTATTTTTCAGCTCATTAAAGGTACTGTTCTAAATAAGAGTCAACACAACTTGATTTAAACCAAAAAAATCTTTCTTGATACCTGAAGACTATGTTCTCCATGGGATACTTGTAAATTCTTTGTGTGTCAGAGGCTTTGCCCTTTGCCCAGCATCACACCAAGCAGGTCCCTGTGCAATGGTGTCTGTCCTGCCAGTCTGGGCTCCCTGGGCCCCAGGTGTCAGCTGAAGCAAGCAGGAGTTTGCGAGACACGTTTTCCCCCTAGGATGATCTCATTACATATACTGTTTGAAGCACACAGCATCTGAACATGAGAGTTCCTTGTGAAATTCAGAACAAATAGCTCCCTGGGAAGATTTCATCTCCTTTCATGTTTAGGAAAAATGAAAAAATAAACAGCATATTTTCCTCAAAACGACTCTATTAAAGGCATGAAGCTAATTATTTTCACATTGCTTAAATTCCACAGAAGATGACACAGTTTTCAGTGTCTGAGCTGAGTGTATTAGCTTTCATTAACGAAATACACCTCCTCACAACACTTCAAAACCAGGACTGGTTGAGGCTGTAATTGCTCAAGTGCTTTCTATACATTTTTCTTCCAGTATATACTCACCAAAACTGAAGACAAAGACAAAGCAGGTAAATGAATGGCAAACACCTTACTCACAAATACAAATGAAGTTCTGGGAAGATTGACTCACAGCACTCCTCTCACTGCACACACACTGTGCAACAGTGACTGAACACGTTTGTAAAAGGGATGTAATATTAAATCTCCCTAAGATTTGGCTCACAATGATACATTTCCTCCTCTGATCTTATGTAAGACCCAATGTTAATAAAGCAACAAATACGACTTGATTTCCTCCTTTACAAAATGCTTTTCAACTCTCTCATAAAACCAGAATTTGCTGTTGTTTCAGATGTGATAAGCCTCGTGTCCTTATGCACTTTTCGCACACACAACAAAGAATGGATATCTTTCTGGCAAGCAATAGCACAGAAGTCTCTCTTCTGTGATTCTCCTGCAGTGAGATTTTCTAGGAAATGGGATACATGGCTAAGAAATATTTTCCCTGTTAGGAACACGACGAGGAGGGAGAGAAAGATCTAACCTTTGAGGGGGAGGGAAAATGAGAAGTAAACTAAGAAGCATTTTATCTAGAGAAAAAAGGGAAGAAGAGCAAAAAAGAATCAGAAATAAGGGAAGTAAGGTGGGGAAAGCAAAGAAGAGTAGGAACACAGAAAGAATTACTTTTTGAAGAAAGGAATTAATAGAGGCCAATGAGAAAGTATGACTAGTATAAAAGAAAGACACCTCAGAATACACAAAAGGCTGAAATCAATAGAAAAAAATGATGAAAGAACTGAAGTACTAAGAAGATACTTTAGGTGATCTCAATTTCTAAAATCTCAATTCTGAACAGTTTTACTTGCAGTATCAAGTCCTGGCAATTACCTGAATGCAGGTAATGCCTTGTAATGTTACAACTGACTCTATGGGTGTGACTTTAAATATTCCACTGCACAGATGGAATAATAATAAATTACCTATAAGTAATTTATTTAGAACTGCTGCTTCTGGAAATTATTTCAACAGTAGTAAAAGGAACACAGTAGCTGAAATAAAATTTCCTATGTGAACTTCCATATACACCATAAAAGTATCCATAAAACATGGATAAGCCAGTTAAAAGAAAGGATCACATGAAATATTTGGCAGCAAGAAATGCTAAATATTAATACTAAAAGGTAAATAATATTAAGTATTTTAACTGAATGAGAACTTTAACCGTATCCATCCCTGGGCTACCTGATCAAGTATTCAGAAGCATATGAAAATACAGTGTCAGGTTTAACTCCTATTTTCTCACAGAGACACCATCACTGTAAGCTTTCTTCCTCTTTCACTCCTTAGCACATTTTTTTGTGCTATTCCACAGGGTAAAAACAAGCACAGAGAAATAAAAAATATTTGCTTAAACGCAGCACAAAGAAAAAGTAACATGAAATATACCTGTAGCACCTTCCACCTTGTGTTCAGGTCTTCCACACAGCTGAGATTGTACTGGGAGAGTTGAATATCAGAGGGAGCAAATCGGTGAGCAAGCTCATTGACATGGTGCACCTTTTCTTTTAGGGGTACGAGTTCTGCTCGATAAACCTGTGTGAATTAAATGTAAATAAATACAAATATAAATACAAATAAAGATAAGTGATAACCTCAGCAACTGTTAACTCTGCTACCAGCTGATTAGCAATGCTACATGTCAAGATAATCTTAGATGTTCAGATATCACATGTCTAGCTGAAAGAAAGGAGCATATTGGTAATGATAGAGTTATCAGTGTTTTTATTTAACTTCATATGGACTTCTCCCTCGAGGGTAAGGCACGTAATTGCAGAAGGTGCTGTGAAGTTGGAACCTTCGTAGCTATTTTGGGCCAGTTAAACAAAATTTCCCCTCAGCACATCACTGGGAGGACACTTCTCTTCTGCCTCATCCTCTACTTGTGTGTAACGTGTTCTTCGGGGTGGACAGAGTGATGAGTACCATCTAACACAGGAAAACAGAGGAAGATGCTGTTCCCAAATGCAGCAAAAAAGAGAAGCAATGCTAGAACTATTACAGACCCCACTAAGGCCATAATCCTACCCTGGATGTCTTGTGTGTAACAGATATAAGGTTAGAAATGGGAAGTACAGAAACATAAATCATTTCCTATGAATCCCAGACTGGCCTAGATGACTTATATTTCAGAACCCCCCACAATAATGTATCTTGTAAGATAACCATTAAAACTATGCATGGGAACAGTCTAGCTAATAATATCAGTAATGCATGTGAAACCCAAACTGCTAGTTACAAGCTTCTTGTTTTTAAAAGCAACAACCTGCTGCTGATGCTTCCATGGTGCATCTGGGCACGTTCAGATAAATTCAGGGCACCAGGACTTCAGCAAAGAGGAGTCTCTATGTAGATCTTCCACTGCTCCATATCTATCTTTCCTAAGTAGACATTTATGAATATTTACTGTGATAAAATATGTCAAAATGTAACAATGAACCATTTCTAAGGGACAAATTCTGTCACACTCAGGAGTACATTTTATTGCCATATGATGTCTGCACACAAAGGCAGAATAATCTACTTGCTGTATTAGTCTTGCTTTCTAGCTCCTTTCTCTCAGCATTTTTAATACAAACCACATGTGATCTACATCTCATTTCAGATCATCAAATAACCTGAAATTATTGCCTAGCAATTTTTTCATCAACCCTTGATGCAAAATAAGGTAAAAAATAAGCCCATCCAGTATATCAGGAGTAAATAGTAATAATGCCATCAACAGCACTAAAGGTAAACATCATTGAAAAATTGTTCCTCAAATGTCTTTCAAAAGCAGACTTGATTTGCATCAATTATGTTGGAATTATGTCTCAGTCTCAGTTGAGAGTGGCCCCACAATAACATCTGCCAGCTCACTCAGCACTCATGGCTGCGTCGCATCGGGGCTGACGCAGGACCAGAACTGTGAGCATGCAAAGTCCATCCCCTCATCTATTCCACCGTGGGTATTTCTGACACTTAATATGAAGCAGATTTCAAGAAAAGGCTAATTGTGCCTACAGAGAAAGTCTGTTTCCCTGGACTGTGAGCTGCACTTACACAAGGCAGTGGCCTCATGCCAGCCTGACATTTTCCTGAAGGATTCCCTCTTGCAGAAGAGTTTCCCTCTAGCACTGGCTTATGTTAAACCTCCATTCTCATAACCAGAGAAAGAGACAGAAGAGGACATCTGGCACCATGAGGAAAATACAAGATGACTTAGGGAGAAAAGTTCTCCTGTGCCAGATGAATTTCTGTTGTGGGGAGTTTTATAGCAGCAGCAGCAGCAGCTGGATCAGAGTGGGATCCACTTGCACAGTGAGGAGGGTGTTGTCCTACACCCAGGGCACAGCAGGTTCTCAGCACGGACATGTCCCTTCCCCAGCTCACTTACTGTCCAAGTGGAGAGGTATTCATGAGCCAGAGTGTATCTTCTGGTTTTATATTTAAGACCAGACAAGGCTGAACTGTCCCAGGACAGTTTGACAGTCTCCATCTTCTCCATTCAAAATGAGTTTGTTTCTTCTCTGATGGGCTTAGTGTGTTCTGACCCAAATTTCACTGAAACCAGGGATTGTCAGCCACTCACTCAATATGCTACACTTAGCTTCCCTTTAAACTCACACTGTATTTTTATTTGATTCTAGTGCTCCTGGGGACAGGCAGTGTTGAAACAAAATGGATTTCAGCTGATTTAATTTTCCATCCTATATATTTTTATAAACTCAGAAATGACCAAGCAAGAATGCACTAGAGTAGAATATAAATCCTCTTCTGGGATAAAAATAGTTCAAACAGAAAACATCAGGGGAGAAAGAAAATCAAATTCCCTTTAAGCCCTATACCATTCTGAATTCCGTATTTCTGAATTAATAAAACATTGCATTTTTCAAAAGTTATTTCCTACAATTTGGAAGACTAACACAGTTTATCCTTAAAAATAAGGATATTAAAATTTGAATAGAAGAAATGAAAAATGAACTAATGCCAGGTATTAATTTTCTTCTTTTCTGAACTGTCAAGGGAAAAAGCTAAGATTTGTAGCAATGTTATATCTAGGAGAAAATATTTATTTATTACGATGTCTAGTTTAATAAACAGAAGCACCCTAATAAATAGATGCACTTATCCTGAAACACATATCACTTGGCTACTATAAATTTTGATCTATTTATTTATTTATTTAAAATCAACAGCTGATATGCAGTTTTATGATCCCTGAACAGACAGAACCTATGCTGCTGCCTTGCCATTTATTCTGGATTTGTGTTCTCCTTCATGGAGGAGGAAAAGTAAATGAGCAAATTTAGCTTGTAATTCACTCTACAAGAACAACCATAACCATGTCATGACAGAGCCCATCCCTGCTGAAGTGCCATAAACAGTTCCACACCAATTTTTCCATATAATCAGTTACTCAGTTACTTTGCAACCAAGAAGAGATGAAGTGCTGAGGAGCTGCAAGTAACTTGAAGGTGTTCAAAGTGTGATCTGAAAGTCTAACACACACTAGACAAAGGACACAGAAAATATAAAGGAATTTTTGCAAAGGAAATTTTTCCTTTAGCATGGTTTCATTCAGCATTATTAAAACTAAGTGCACTTGAAAAGATATATGTGCTTAGGATGTGGAGCCTCAGCCAAACCTGCTTTTAAACCATGAATAACACATTATCTAGCTCTATTAGTTAAGTTGTGAACAATATATATTAGATATGTACAAATAGAAGAGGTTGAATAATATGTAAATAGTCTCTTTTCATCTTTCTTCTGGGCTCCCTTCAGGTGTTGGAAGCTACAACAGGTCAGTCACCCTGAAACCTTCTCTTTTCCAGGCTGAACAAACTCAATTCTCAGCCTCTCCTCACAGGAGAAGTGCTCTGTCCCTATAGCCAACTTGGTGCACCTCCTCTGGCCTGAGATTCTCACGGGGCCACTTCTTGAGCTGTAAATTCCCAGACATTTAACATCTAATAAGAACATCCTTCAACAACACCAGACAAGGGAATTCAGTTCCAACAGCAGAGTTTAGCAAACCACAAGCAAGAATGATTTACTTTTTAAACTAATACAGGATGAAAGAAAACTAAAATAAAAAGCTGAAAAAGAGGCAGATAAATAAAACTTAAAAAAATTAAACAGGTCTAGGATTTCTATAGCAGCACCAGAGACATGCTGGGAAATGGTCAGGAGCTGAAATCCTCCTGGGTGGCAGAGCAGAGTGCAGCTCTGGGCAATGGGCAGCTGTGGCTCCTGCTGGGATCAATGCAAACTGTCATTCTTAATCCTCTGGGTAATTTAATCCAACTAAAATAAAACAATTTGCAGGTAAACTATAAAGAGACTAAGAATAATTTGAGTGGCATTGCTGTCTGGACAAATTAGTTTCACCGATTCAATTGCCCTATTTGTAAACTGGGTATAAAACTTACTTCTATTGCAATCTCAGAAAGAAGCTGAGAAGATTAAATCATACTATCTGGAACATGAGAAGCACTATAAAAGGGCTAAGTAGCAATTATAAGGTTTTATTATGGGCTAACCTTGTACAAAAAAATGAAATAAAAACTCTATTAGGCTTTAAATATATATAGATTAAAATGAGAAAAGTGGAGCACAATGGGTTGCTGATAAACATTCCAGGCAATCTAACATTCATTGCACTCCCTGCACCAAGGAATCCCTAAATAATTACTGTGTACCAGCACAGGAGCTTGATAAATGGATTTCACTTTGCTCATTGATTTGCCCATGTCATAGTAACATTATCACTACAGAATCTGCACACTTGATAGTTCCCAGGAATGTATTTTGTCAATGTTTTAAGAAAAGATTTCATTAGAAACATAATACTGGCAGATTTCTCTTCATGGAAAAAAATTGCCTCCTCTCAGAAAAAGATAACGTTAAATTTCATCTCCCTCCTCTCGTGTGTCACTGGACATGGCTGTGTCTAGCTATGTATTCACTTCTGATATGTCCTTGGCTTTACATAGAAATATTTCCATGCAGACTGTACAGAGCAGATCAGATTTCTGTTACAAATACTACCTGGAGAGATTTTTGCTCCCTTTAGCCACCACCTCCCTGTGCCACACTCACTTAGGGAAGCCTGAACAAAACAGTCCCATGGTAAGAAGAAATGTGTTACTCACGTTGGATTTTTCCCCCCTTGGCTAAATATTTACATTTCCAGGTTAGAAGTTTGAAGTGAACGAAAACAGTTCAAGAGCATCTTTGATTTAATGCCATGTCTGGGAATGTTAATACTTCATCATCAGACTAATATCTGTGGGTTTATATGGCAAGCTTAAAGCCACACTAAATGTTCCAGGCCCTGCAATAACCATGCTGCTGAGGTACTTAAAATATTAATGTTTAATACTCCTCCTAAAAGCTCAAGTCCCATTCTTATTTCTGATAAACTGATAAAGAGCAATCTCTTAAAAATGTTCTGGTCTGACCTCAATTCTGAACTTCAGAGGCACTAAACGACAGACAAGTCTTTATACATGTATTAGTCAGTTCTCCCAGCAGGCTGTCAGAAACCAAGATCAGACATTGCCAATTTAAAAAGTCAAATTCTGCCTGCAGATGTGCATGTTGAACTCCCACTGAAATCAGCAGGGTGAGTTCATATCAGGAAAAATTTGGCTCCCAATGAAATCTGTTGATCTAATAATAGCATGTTCTACCAAACTGGGTTGGAGGTAGAAAAGATTTCCACTTTTATTGGTCACTTTTTTTAGCTCTTTAGAGTTCAGGAATTTTCCTGCACTTACTATCAGGGAGAAGTTAACAGTATTGTCTAGCCCCAAGGTCCTCAATCAAGGAGAAAAGAGTTAATATGTTCTATTACTAACTGTGTTAATACAATTTAAACAAATTTGGTACAAATTGGGCTAAATCTGGTGCAGTTCTTTCCCAGGTGACAGTTCTTTTGCAAAATGGTCTGCAAGTAGCTACTTCTCACACTAGTTTTGTGATTCCCACAAAAGCTGAAAAAAAGAACACTCATTTTTGTTTGCTTTTTGTTAGCAGAGCAACTTTAATGTCTCTGTACCACAATTATGCTACCGTTTCCCAATAAGTAGCAAGGTCAGGAGCAGTCTGAGTTTTAGAAGACTAAGATTTCACTTCTCTGCCTGCTCAGTATTTTATTATTCCTATGTAAAAAAGATTCTGTATTCTCTCTTGAAATAGGTAGCTCAATATAGAAAAAAACCCCACAACAACCTATGTAATCTAGGATCTGTAAAACATTCATTAAATATGAGATCAGAAATGTACAACTTAGTGCAAGAGAAGTCAGCAGAGGGATGATGGTTTGAGTCAGGTATTTAAAAAGGGTTTAGATATGGCTATTGCCATAGTTATTGCCATAACAAACTCTGCAATCTTATCTGAGTGATTACAGAGCAACAACATAAGGCAGATGAGACTTTTAGATTAAATTTGTTTCAGCAGAAAATACATGATTATTGCATGTTAAATAACCACTTGTGAATATATTTCTTTTTATGTGATGAAATAAATTAATTCACAAGCTTTTAAAATGAGATTAGAAGACCACAGGACACAACTGAGTAACTTTCATCTCCCAGAAGCTCAGAAGCATAGCAGAACTAAAATCATCTGGTACAACACATGATGAGGCACTCCATGGTTTTTTAACTCGATTTCATGTTTAAGACAAACCTTAGCAAATTAAACTTGCCCTCAACAGTGACAACCAAACAACCCTACTGAATTCTCTGTTGTGTCAAACTTCATTTTAAAAAAAGATGAAAACAACACACCAGGTTGTTACCAATTAGGTAATGTGCTTAGCTGAAGTGTCTTTGATGTGTAACAGCACCCTGAAAGTTAACAAATTGAACAAACTTCAACAATTCCTTTCATTATAGCAAACTCTACAAAGTTTTAAATTCACAAAACCATTATATGTAATAAGGGCATCTGGAGATTGTCAAAGTGTTCCAGTGAATTTAAGTATGGCTTTGGTTTATTTTAAAATACAGTTTATGTTCTTATGTACTCAAATGTCATTTTGGTTCATATTAGCAGTAAAACACTCGATGAAGAGTTGTTGTCATTTTGTAAATTCTGGTTTTATTGGCCATATTTGTATTTAAAACCTCAAAGTACTCTAGTATGCCATTAGGTCATCTCCTCCTTTTATAGTATCTTAGAATGATCTCTAAAGGAAAACTTTTTCACACATACAAAAGCTGTTTATAAGGATCATCTCTAATCTCTTAGGAATGATTTTTTGGGTGTTGGAAATCTGTCAAATGAATTAGGAGGAAATGGCTATTCTGTGTGAAACAGTTTTAAAAGTCACAGAGTCCAGCACAGAACTTATTAAGAGACTTACTAAAGGAAATAGGACAATTTAATTCAGATTGATTATAGTCTTCAGTGGTAACAGCTGGCTTCAAATTACACTGAAAAAATGTATATGCATTTTGAAGCAGTTTAAGAAAATATCATAAATAATTACTGTATGATTCAATCACAGAATGCCATATTTATTAAATGGTAAACTTGAGAAGCATTTGCCACAGTAATTAGTTGTATTCTGAAGAAAACATTAATACTTCCATCTCCTACACTGCAGGCAGTTTCCTACTCAGCTGTTAACCAATGGATGCTGTCATCTTTTAATTGGCAAACAATTTTAAAACAATCAAATTGTAGTTCATATCTAAAATGCTGCATATAAAATACTTCAGTACTAGAGTTTGTTTTTTTTAAATTAAGAATAATGAGTGCAGCAATAGTGGGGAGTAACGCTTGTAAATTCCCAAAATACATCACAGCCTATGAGTTCTGAAACTGCTGAAACAATACTTGCTTTGGGTTTTGTTTTCTGTTCAGAATATATTCTTCAAAATTTTTAAAAAGCCAAAACCCCATGGCTGTAATCAAAAGTACTTTCTGAGAATTTATAAATCGATCTCTTCCGTTCATTTATGAATTTAAATGAAGATGAACATATTTTGCAGCTAGCTGTTCATCAGCTACCAAGTATTTAATTTGTTCTTGTATTGTATTTGCACAGGACACTCATTAAAATTTCTGTGTGATTAACACTCAAGGACTTTTATTTTAATAAACTACATTTGATTTTTAAAGGCATTTTTTCTTGCCATTAGTCATTCTATTTCCTCTTTCTTAGATCCTAATGTTCTACTAGAGAAAATAACAGTTAGCTCAGGTCTCCTTCAAAATGACTGATGATTCCCATTTATGTGACTGGAACAGAGGCACTTTGTTCTTATCAAAATGGCAAGTGCCTCTATTGTGCTGGAGCTGAAGGAATCCTGTAGTATTTATCAAGTCTGGCCGTGGCAGTCAGGCTGAAAGAGGACAAGTCTGCCTGAGCTCCTCAATATGCAATGATTTTATGAAACAACCCTTAAAAACAGATAAAGATTAAGTTGCAGAAAATAATGACAGTTTTTCCAGGGTTGCTGCTTTGGTTTTTTTTAAACTACCTCTACTTATGAAGCCTAGTTATCAAAAAGCACAGGTAGCAAATAGCACCATCATGAACAAAACCCAACAGAACCACATACTGGAAATTATTTACGTCCTACTCTACAAGTATAGGCACAATTATGAAGCCATCATATTTAAAAACTAGAATAAAGAATAGTATTAATTTTACATACTTTTGTCATATATTCTCCTATCTATTCTATTTTGCTCTCTGTAACTGCTAACTGTGTATCTCCTGAGTTAACAGTGAGTGCGCAGGGGATTTTTACAGATTTTTGTAGTGCTTTTACCCATGCCAGCAATATATATTCTCAATGGTGACTTAATTAATTGCTGAAATTACACAACTTCTTATATGTACCTTTTAAATATCAACACTCTGGTACCACGCTACCACTTTCTCATTCGAAAGGATAATTCCTGCTATGGGGATTCATCCAATGGACAATTTCCCACTCAGAGATACTGCTGTACTGACACCTACCTTGACTTTTTCTAAGTGATCCTGCAGAGAGTCGATCAGCAGATCCCCCACGGGCTGCCAGGATCCCTTGAAGGCTTCAGCCTGGCGCAGCTTCAGCTCCAGCTCATCCATGGCCTCCTGAAGGGCCTGCAGCCTTTCCAGAGCATCGTCCAGCTTCTTCTGCCAGTCAGCAGACTGCAGATTCAGCTTATCCCACTCAGTCCTCACCTCATCTGCTTGCCTTTGAAGAACTTTAGTGACATTGTGGGCTCTTTCCTCAGGTGACAGATCTAAATGTGAAAGTTAAGAGGCTTTTAAGACATATTCTGTCTTCAAACTGAAATCCGTGCGGATAAGTTCAAATCTCCGTAAGAAACTATTCGTAACCAAAGACACCTGTGAAAATTATTTTATTAATGTCTCATTTGAAAATCTCTTAAAAAAAATTAAATCTTCCCACCAAACGTATCTCCAAAATATGCATTTAAGTACATAAAGGCATTCTGAAACAAGCAAGGTGTAGCTAAAAATTTATCAGCCGTGTCCTGATTCAGCACTGTATTTCTGTACATAGATAAATATTAATCACTGTGAAGCTTTTGCTGCAATTGAGTGGCTTTGGGAGCTCCTGTAGTATTGCCACTACAAGTCGAATTTTAGCTTAAATTGCTGCTTTGAGACCTCAAATGAGGCTATAGTTACAGACTATAGGTTTAAAGGCAGTTTCAAAATCTGCTTATAAATATGCATGTCTATTTAGCACCAGAGTGTTCCGAAGGATCACTAGGGCTTGCTTTCATCTCTATTTTTAGCTCAGTTTCTGAATACTGGCACTCAGCTCGGAGTGTAAGAGGAATGCTTTCAGAGCTGCTGGCAGAATGGATTTAATCATCACTGATCATCACTGATCCTTCCAGCCATGTGTTACTACCCTGTTCTTTCCCCCATTACCTCTTGGCTCTGGGCAGAGCTTCTCCAGTCCCTCTGCAGGCTGCTCAGCCAGGAACACTCGCACAGTGTCAAACGAGCTCCTGAGAACAGGTTCTTTTGTTTTCAGCTCCCTCTTGAAAGTCTAAGAAATAAAGTTATTGTAAGTGGATGTATAATGAAATACCAAGTGCAAGCTCTTGTTTTTGTCAATTTAAGAACAAAATTTCCCACATCTTCCATGTGTGTAAGGCAAGTAGCAACAAAAAAACTATGAAAGTAAGAAGCTGCTTCTGCTTAAACTGACATCACATTGTACTCAAAGGAGAGAACTCACTGCCAGCTGGCTGCATTTGGCTTTCTTCAGCAACACCTCCTTTTACTCTCTTTCTTCTACTCCCTGATTTTAAAATGACCATGAGTTAAGTTTCTCAACTTATTTCAACATTTTCCTCTGTATTTATGAAATAATATTGAATTAATACTGTTTTGAAGTTAAATATGCAGATGATTTGGTGTAACAAGAAATACAATATGGCAAAAGGGAGTCATATGCCATGAGTGGAAAACACATATTTTACTCCGGGGATTAGAAAATTCTTTTTACAACACTGGCATTATGTGAGCTTCTAACATAACAAATTCACCAATTCAGTTAAATTAATTATTAAACAAAATTTGTGTTTCTATGCAAACTAATGAAGGATTATAAATTCAATATAAAAAGTTCATTACACTTTGAATTATATTTGATATGTAACTCTCTGTCAGGAAATACCTACCAGAACTAACAATGTAATTTCCAATATGAGCACTCACAGGCAAAAAGTTCTTAACGCATTTCAGGAAAGTAAACTTAAGGAATGACAAAATTGTTCTGCTATAAATATTTAAATATACTCTTTATTAAATGGGCAAGAACTGACCACAAGGTTTGTAGCTGTGCCTGGGAAAACCTATTAGCAAAGTCTGTTCCCTTGAAGGAAATTGTACACTAACAAATATTCAATTTGTGTCAAGGGGACTGGAATCTCTTCATAGAGTGTGTCTGCTGTCATAAGGGAATCTGTCATTTGATTAATATCTGTGATAAATGCTTTAAACAATTATGTTGACCTTTAAAAACCGACACTGATTTTCAGAAACAAAGGAGAGTACTGTATATTAACAAATAAATAACTCTGGACATTGTTCTGCGTAAAAACTAAGTAGGGTTATGAGAGGGCTGAAACTCTAATTTCAGCATTTTTAGGTTTATAATTCTTATCATTCATAGTTGACTGTTGCATGAAGTGCAATGGAAAGCAGAAACAAAATAAGCCTTTTCCATGCCTCCAAATGAGGAAACTCTATTCTTCTAATTAGCCTTTGTGCTGTTACATCATTCTGTCCCATGGAGTGGCAGGTCTGCAGGTCAGGGGAGCCAGCACCCAGCAGCAGTTAAAATCCAGCATGGCATGCTATGGATTGCATGCTCTGCTCTCATCTGCTAGTGTTCAGAGTAACACCACAGTCAAACTCACTTAAAGCATTAAACATTAAACGGTATAACAGCTTAAATATATAATCTGCTTTATAAACATCTCCAAGGCAAATTATTTCTCAGAATAACAAAACCCAGTCCAACAGAAGTCTGTTCTGCCAACACACACCACCAGCAGGAACGAGCCACAGGTATTCCAGGGAACACAGAAACACATCAGTTCTGGGAGAGTTCCGTGCCAGGAACTCCTCTGAGCTGTGTGTTTGTGAATGGGTAGTGCTGCTGCTTGTACATTCCTCCAGCTTGTACTGCTTTTGCAGAAAACTGCACTAATCCAATACACCTAGTGGCAATACATTTCCAAACCACATTCCTCCTGAATCTCTTGTGCAACAGAGGGAGAACATAATCAGATCTGCACACTACATCCCATAAAGTGTGTGAGCAGGAACCATCGTATCTTTCTCAAAACCACTGAGAAATCCTAAGAGGAAATTTCTGACTTCGTATGTTTTGTATTTAGTCACAAAAAGAAAAAGTCCCTCTTCTAGTAAAGGAAAACAGTGAGCCAATGTGTTAAATTGGTTTTTCCCTACTTTTCCATTCTGAATGTTGGAGCTAGGTGAGACAATTGTAAACAGTAAATCCTGAGTTACAGAATAGTACAGAGTATGGTGTTAAGATCTATTTACAATTCTCACTGCCTTCCCTAGTTTTGATCTGCAGACTTCTACCAAGTGAGTTAAAATATGTTTCAGTATAAGAAATTTGAGAAGCAGAGGATGAAAAAAACATGAGGCTGAAGCAGTAGCACAGAACAGCATTAAAAAGAATGAATCCTCATTTCATACTACCCCAGTCCAAAAAAAGTTCTTACTGTATGAAGATAAAGCTGCTTTTTTTGATTAAAGTCTTGTTGTGAAATATGTACATGCTACCAATAAAAATCCTAAGTAGCAATAAAAGACATTTTCTCTTCTTTGGGAGAAAAAAAGAAATTATCTATCTAAAGTCCTGACAAATACATCTTTATATAAACAGACCATCACTGAAAGCAGAATTAGCCTAAACGAATGTCTAATTTACAATTAGTGATTTCAGGCTAATTTCATTGAATTCCTTAACTTCTTCCACACTCTGTGGTGACTGTAGAGGAAATCGAATATGCATAATGTATGACCTGACAAAAAAATAAGTAAAGCACTTTATTTAAGCATGTCTATTTGTCATCAACACTACAGCAGTAATGGCATTCTGTCCAGCATTTAATAACACACATATCGATCAGCTCAGCGCAGACATCCCCCACCTCCTCAGGAGTGTCCTAAAGCTCTTTAAATGAAGAAACAAAGGTTGTTTAAATTGAAAGATGAGAATATAATGAGAAAAGACTTGAATTAGTAAAATTAACATTAAATTATGTTATAAAATGAAACAGGATGTTTGCTTTCAATGAATTTTAAAGATAAAGAATACAATTACATTAATTCAAGATGTTTGCCAACCAGATTGCATTGACTTAGTTTTTTGACTTCAGTTTTTAGAAGTAGATATCAGCTGTGCCACCAGGAAAGGATAGTGTGTTGAAGCAGGAACTGCACTCATCCTTAGGCAGTGGTGCTACAGATTTAATGAGAAAGGGTTTCCAGGCAATTGTTTATAACTACCTGTTATGTTCACAAATGCTATTTATGCTGCTAATGAAATCACTACACAGAAAACAAGGCAACTCTTCAAGGAATGAAAGACATAGCAGGCTACCTGCATGATGTCTAAGTTACTAAAATGAGATTAACTGTAACACATGCACAGCTGCTAATACAACTTCAATAACACATAATTATGACACTTAGTAAAGCAAAGGGAACTGTGAGATGATTAAAAATGTTTTGATGAACAAGAGTATTTTTTATCATTGACTAACACCACCACCATCACTCTCAGCCACACATTCTAAGACTTTGGCATAGACACAGTATCTTCAGATGCCAAGCATCGACAAAATGACCCACTATATACATAAGTTCAAATAAATAGCAAAACATTTCAAATTGCCTTGTCTAAAAAGCACTGCACATTTATAACACAACAATGATTTTGACTGCATGGATACCTCTTTCCTCAGTTGAGTTCAAGCTCTCCTCTGGCACAGGTTCAAGTTTTTGAAATTTTCATCTGAAACCTACTCTTAAAATTTTTAAAGCCAATCTTGGCAATTATGAACACTCAAATGGTAAGATCTATCTTCTTTTTATCTCTTTTATGAATGTCTGTGTTATTTCAGATGGTCTTCTAAATGATAGTGAGGTGAAATATGTTTTTCTCCTTTACATTTTATCCTTAAAGGTCAAAAATAAAATCAGCTTGCAACACGGTTTTAGAAAAAGGGTTCAGGCATAAAATCATGTTTGCATTCATCATGCTAGCTCTAAATGGCAACCGTTAAACTGTGTGTAAATAGTGTTCCCCTGCTGAGGCAAAACCAATTCTTCACAGAAAGAAAGTCATTGTACTGATACGGGAAGAACAAAACTGGAAGTTTTAGTCATTGAAAAGATTGGTCAGATCTGGTAGATGCATCTCTTGTTTACTGAAGACTGATTTCCAAAAGTGACATTCAGGAGGACAAAATGAACAATCAGCAGATTCTTTTCCTCAAGACCAAAACTCCACTTGTCCTTAGTTTCACATCCAACACCCTGAAAGCTAAGTTTGACTCTTAAGCAGGAGCCCAAAACTCTTGAAAAGTGCTTTCCAGGCTGTGCTCCAGTTTTAAGCTAGATACTGCTACACTTGTGGTGCAAACCTTTTGAAAACATTTTTCTTATGTCCAGAAATGAGCTAAGCTGTTCATTTGGATCAGGTTTTGTATGTCTGCTTCTCTAAAACAAACTTTTAGAGTAAAAAAGTCCATAGTGCCCAGGGGAAAAAAACCCTCACAACAAATGACAAAATAAACCAATAGAAAACCACAAATTTTGTCAGACACCCTGAAGTCGACTTCTACACTGATTGTTTCTCCCTCCTTCTCTGTAAGAGATATTTGAAGACCAGACAAGGTACCCTAATTTCAAAGATTGTTTTGTTCTTTTTTCAGTGGGGAATAGAATACTTAAAACTAGAAAGGCTTAGGGTTTCAAAAAGCACTCATGAAGTTTAAGTGCCTAATCTAGAAAAATTTTCAGAACTACTTATTTAATTCTCAAAAAATACTAGGTTAATAATTGTTCTGACCATGAAATCTAGCTGTTTGTGCTACGTCTGTGAAGGTCCTTCTCCAAAAGGCTGATTTTCTCTGCTGTGTTTGAAAATCGTAGCTAGCAGTCTCAAGCAAGAATTTTAGTTTTCATTCTAAAATGTATTTTCAAGGGTATCTTACTTTTTCCAACAAGGACTGTGTTATGCAGTGCTAACCTACAAAACAAAAAGCAATGACCAAAAGATCTTTTTAAAAAGAGCCATACCCGATGAATATCATTCTGTTTCTGCACAGTGGGAAGATCTCCACCAATGGGTGCTTGCTGTTTTAATTCATCCTCCTTCAATTGCAGCCATGCCAAAAGTTCCTGCAGAGAGAGATGTAGTCGCTTCCACTGGTCGGTACTGGCTTCCAAATGGGACCTGAAAGCATGTGTTGAATATAAGAGATTCAGGCACAGTGAAAGTAAAAACCAAATTGTACAAGCTTATTTACTGCGAAAGATCCTAGTGTTTCATTACCTTAATGATTTTTAAATAGCTTCAGTGGCTTTGAATTAGATTCTGGCAACACATTTAAATTTGGTTCCACAGTCCTGGGTTGGGGTTTTTTTTCACATCTCTTGTTTATTTATTTTTTCTAGTTTTCCTCTTCAGCAATGAGTAACAGTTGTGTTGAATTGTCAGTCTCACTAGGAGTGCACAAATATTATGCAGGACTAGCATGAGAGTAACGTAGCCAAATGTCTGTGCCATTTGAACAGACGTGGGATTTTCCTCTGGATATGTGTAAATGTGGGCTTTTCAATACTGGGATCAAGTATTGAGCTACAAACTTTTAGCAACTGTTTTCTGTGACTGGACTGATATAATCTTCCGTTTTCTTTGTACCATAGATAAAGCACTCCAAATTTTGCCTTTCTAGATTTATGAATATACTAGTTTTTAATTGCTGGTTGAGATGAAATTCCTAATTGACTTCCAGGTAACATAAGAAATCCTCTTAGCAATTCAAACCAAAAGAAGTTTTACAAAAATGATAAGTGAAAAATGTACTGGAAAAGGACGACAAATTTTCTTTTATTTCATACATAGTTGGTTTCAGTTCTAGCTTTGTTTGCATAACATTTCTCTTCACCTACAACACTGCACACAAAATCACTTATTTTCCGACAGTGACCACAGGGTTTTAGGAGAGGACACAGTCAAGGAGCCAAGACTCTGAGTCAGGCTAACTCCTTGTCCCATGTTTATCTTGGCACACGCAAGTTTCCACCTTCCCTGGGAAAGGGCAGCAACTGGTGGCAAACGCAAGGATCTTCCTTCCCTGCTTTGCCAGGGACAAAGTTACTGCTGCTGTGCCCTGACCTTCCTCAGTCTGGGGAATGTTTTCCCAGAACCTGACTTGTCCTGCCCTTCTTTCAGCGTCAGGACTATATGTTTATGTGCGCACACGCTAGTGTACATTATACGCATACACTCACGTATTTGTGACTGTGCTAAAGATGTGCAGACAAAACAGGTAATTGGAAAACGGTTTCAAAAGACAGTTATTTATAAAAAAGAAATTGTTTAATAGGATAAATCATGCTGACTTACCAGATGAAAGAAGGCCATAGTGGAAATTAACTTGGCTTCTCTTAATCTCTCCCATATATTTTATACAATGCCTTTAGAAAAGAATGCCCAGCTAAGCTGATCAAAGGCATGGGGCTTCTGTTTCAGCAGACTGAAACTTCTGTTAAATAAGGAGACTTGAGGGACTGATGACAGGAGAATATTTCATACGTCTCCTCTAATACCTTTTTTTGTCTAAGCATTGCTAGTTATGGTGAAATCCATTCCAGTCTGTGTGAAGGATAGAAATAGCTACAAAGAGCTGGGAATAGCCTCTTCATCTAGGCTGGTGGCCAGCAACATTTAAACTGAAAGTCTTAGAATCTAAGAATTGTTTCTTATACTCATCAAGAAGTCATTGAACACCTAAAGCCTTTTATTGGATGCAAATATTTCAGAGAGGAGGTCTGTTGCTTTGAGTGTTCAGTGCAGAAAGTCACTAGGGTTAGTAGGGCAGTAACTAAGGTTGAGTAACTGCATCTGACTCAATTAGTGACAGCGATGCATTAAACTGCGAATAACGAAAGTCCCATTTTTTAAATTACTGATATTTGCCCAACTAACCATTTTTCTTATCTCAGACATCATCACATTTGAACAAGTTCATGGCTAAAATGCACGTGAAGAAAAAATTCTCAGAGACCTATAAGGGTTTCATCCCTTTTCTTTTGCTCCTCAGAAAAAAAGAGCAATGTGTCTCTTTTTCTTTGGCTACTAATATCTTTTCCACCTCACATCCTTCATTTATTTTTAATGACTGATGTTATGAAGATGGCTTTTGTCATTGCACAGACTGACCTCCCTCGGGACCTGAGATGAAATAAGCTAGTATTTCATCCATTACTTTGGAAAACACTTCTGTCTGTTGCTGCCCTCTGAACTGCCACCAACACACAGCAAGTGAGCAAATGAAAAAATGCCCAAGACTGAATGCAGCAGAACTGGGTTGCCTATTGCAAAAGGCATATTTCTGAAGAAAAGCTTGGACAATTTCTTTCGAAAAGGAATTTTCAGTCCATTGAAGCTTCTACCACCACTTCATAATTTGTATTGTTACCATTTATTATATTTTTCCTTTCAAGCAAAAGTATTTCCTCGCATGACACTACCTATGGATTTCTTCTACTCTTGGGTTTTATTTAGCAATTCTGTCCACTTTCCAGACAACAGCTAAAATCTTAAATAATTTGCCTTCTCATTTGCAAGGCTATTTTTAGTTTTGCACTGGAAATAGCAGCCTTGGAAATAAAGCTTATCATAAATATTTGTTATTTAATCACTGTGTTTCATGACTCATTGATAAGTCTTTCCCAGCTCCAGAAAAACCTACATTTAGAGAGGGTACAGTTACTGTTTAAACATGCTAATCTCTCCTGTAATTACAAAACTTCATCACATGCCTCAAATCCTAATCCTCTACTATCATTTTCACACTAAAAAACCTAATCATTCTTACAAAGTGAAGCCAACATTCAAAGCAACACAAATAATTTCAAAATAGACAAAAATAGTGTTATCAGAAACAAAATTAAACCTTTTTACTTGCAAAATGCAGTGTTCCATCTCACACACCAATAGGCTTTGGCTTACGTTCCTACCTAATGTTTAGAGATTTCTTCCTGAGTTCACTCCATCTGAGGTTCATGTTATCCAGACGTCTCTGCAGCAGAGTCGCATCCTCAGAGCCTTCCAGGGACCTCAGGATTTTTTGCCCGTTTTCATCCAGGTTGTGAAAGATGTCAGTATGAGCATCAATTTCTGCCTGTAGTTCCTATGGAAGCAACAGAAAGCAACACGTATGATTTCTTGAAAAATCATAGGAACTAATTTTTCAAAAGATTGGAAAACTCCTCAGTGCAACACGGAGTTAGTGTGGATTTTGATTAATCCTTTCACAGCAATATCATGTGCTGTGTACACAGCTATGTTTCCCTTTCACATGAAGGCCATTTCCATTGAACACAACCTTTTTCCCATACAGAACATCCTGGACAAAATTTAGAAAGTTAAAAGTGTAGCCCTTGACAGGCAGCAAAGCAAGGGCTGGATATATTGACTGTGCTGATGAGGGCAAAATAAGCACAAAATCCTTACGATCTCAGGTAAATCTGACCTTCACATGGTATGTCTTCCTGTGCAACATTTTCAGTTTGAGCTGGGGACTGCAACACCGATCCTGCTGCATGACAATCCCAGGAAATCCAGGCGTGCGCAGCAGCCGAGCTTTAAAGTGCCAAGTCCGCTTACATTCTGTTGACAGAATGCATTTTGGAGCACAGGCCTCAGCAGTCAACAGCAATAAACAGCCACTTTGTGCTGTATCAAAACACTGGTTGGGGCCACGGCTGTAGGAGGGCCCGAGAACAGCAAGGACCTAGAATATGCAACTGGCAGCTCATGTTGAACAGCCAACTTTTCTTATCGCTTTGTAACTGCAGGCCAGTTCCACATTTCCAATTCATTTTCCCCCCTCATTTTTAGCATGGCTGTTTCTGCCAAA